CCGAAAAGTATAACACCATCCGGTAATCCCGTGCAGCGGGGAACCAGCCCTGAGCTTCATGAACTCAGGTGGGCCCACCTCCGAATGCGTTTAGGAATCGTGGGCCGAAACGTGTGTCGAAAGAGGATAATTTCTACTGATGACTGGTAGATCCCCGCTGTACTTGCTCCCTGTGAGTTTATTCTTATTCTTAATCTAAAGGTTAAACGGGGTTTCTGGGAGTTGCGCTCAGGTGATTCACATTCGACTGATGGCATTTTGTGTCACCGGATGTTTACCGCTGGTTTTGGGATTCTGGTTGATTTGGACTTCATTCATTAGGTTTCCCTAGGCCGACAACGTCGCCTTTTCCATCTGTAGACATGTCTGAATCTTCTTGGTTTGATAACCTATGCCAGTGGATACCATTTTTTGTTCCTTTTCAGACAAATTTTACGCTCAGTAGTTTGCCATTGCTTTCTGACTAACTGAGGCAAAACGGTCTGCTGCCTAATCGACTGCAGCTGGGATCTAACCAGCACTCTGGGATTACGAAATGTTTTCGCAACTACTAAACCACAGATGCCGACGAGACTATAGATAACTGAAATAGACTTTCCATGAAACCTCGATATATATTACTTATTTAGAAAAGAACTAAAACGTTGTCTTGGAACAAGTGTAGATTTATATTTTAAAAAAAAAAACAACTAGTGCTAATGCTGATTGTTTTGAGGAATGTATGGTACAGCTGAAACACTATTAAAGAAAAAACAAAAACAATGTTAATTGAAGTTAAGATGTTTTTTATGAATTCATAAATCTTTAGCACCGACAAAATGGTCTATTAGAAAGTGACTGAAGCACAACAGGGAGGCATCAATAATCATTACATCAAAACAAGCTGCTACCGTAAAAATAACAGATAAATACTCCCTACCAGAGACCCGTTAATCTCTTCAATAATTGTCTTTAGTTATTTTCACAAATCAAGAGAGAGATCTCTCAAAACTCACTCAGAAGTGTTACGTGCTTAGCCAGAGGGCGGTTGAAAATGTTTGCACTCTTGAGGCACAGTTGTCTCACAATTAACTGAATTTGCCAGATCTATAATTGTTCACTTTTTCCATCTTCAGCTTACAGTCAGCGTGCAATATTATAAATTACTATAAAATTAATTATAGTTGCTTTAGCAAGCTTACAGACATTCAACACTTGTAAATAATATATTTAAAAAGCGATAATCCAACTTCAGAAATAACTTTCACCCGATTCTATAATTTCTTTTAAAGCGGTTAAATTACCTTCATATTGGATTATTCATTTGTACATCTCAGAAAGACAAAACATTCTAACGTCCAAACCTGATTATGTATCAATGATAACTTATTTGACTTGTGAAGCAGTAATAAACTGAAGAAAAATATGACATTTTTTTACTTTGAAAAATGGAGTATAAAAACGAAGCAGGTACACATTTAAACTGGGAATACACATCGACGTCTTCTGTACCTATCATACAGAATGAACTATATCTTTTCATTATGTCAATAAGTTTAGGTATTATTTGTCAGATTGTCAGCGTTTTTGGAGTTATAAACAACGTTATCAACATCGTCATCTTCGTAAAACAAGGTTTTACAGACACTATCAACATTAGCTTGTTGGCACTGGCGGTGTCAGATTTGTGTTCCTTACTAACTATAATGTGGTCCAACCTTTGTTTCACACGCGCTTTCCAGGAATCAGGTGTCCCATTAGTGGCGTATGAGGTACAGCTAATCAGTGGCAGTTGGCCGCATGTTACCTTTACTAGAACTACCGGGTGGATAACTGCTTTTATTAGCTTTGAAAGATGTATGTGTGTTATCTTTCCTTTAAAAGTTAGAACGATATTTACGCCAAGAAGACATATGGCAATCATGATAACGATTTATGTGGTAACTGTAGGGTGCTCCACTTTGGCCTACGTGTCTCTAGGACTGGAGTGGCGGTTTTACCCTGAGAGAAACAAAACCCTTATAAGACTAGCTTATCACATGGACGCCCATAGAAGGAAAATCACAGACGCGGTATCGTACGCAGTGAATGGAGTGTTCATGCCTATGACTTGTTTCTTGTCTATAGTTGTCTGTACCGCGGTGCTGGTAATCAAATTAAACCAACAGACATCATGGAGACAGACACACTCGTCCACTGCCAACCAAGAACAGATATTAAAGACCAACAAGCTAGTTAATACAAAAGAGAGGAGAGTAGCAAATATGGTTGTCCTTATTTCTGCTATATTCATAGCTTGCTTTATCCCTGCAGTTGGTATTTTTGTTGCTGGGTATATTGAATCGCAACTCAGTTACGACGGGCGATACAAAAATCTGTTTCTAGTGACACTGTCTGTATCGTTTACAGCAGAAGCCATTAACTCCAGCATCAATATTTTCGTCTACTTTGGGATGAGCACGAAGTACAGAGAAACATTTCTACATATATTCCGTTTACAAAGAACTCTGAGTACAGAAAGTCTGAACAAGTAAATTAACACACAACTTTGTATGTGTGTAGGGAAGCTTTCCTTTTGTTACATTATCGTTCCTACGATAAGTTTACCAAGCTTCCATTTGTTAATTAATTATTTGTCAGATCAACATGACTGAGCATTACATCATTCGATCCATGACTGCTCAGATCCTTTCATAAACATATCCAACAGCATGTGACGATTAAGACACTTTGTTTCATTTTCTCATGTCGTTTTCAGTTCTCTTTTCCTGGGCTGTCGATTTTTTTTTTTGGGGGGGTGGGGGGGGGGGGGGGGGGTGGGGGGGGGGGGGGGGGGAGAAAAAGAGAGGAAGGGGGGTGTCTATCTAAACGTTCAGTGTTAATGTGCTGCCAGTGTCTGTGTGTGCGTCTTTGTTACTGTGTATATGAAAGAATACCTGTTTGTAAATACCTATTTATCCATATGAGTAAAGGCATGATTGATGTTTGCATGCCTGTTCTGATGTATTAATGCATCATCGTTGATTGAATTTAAGTAAGTATGCAATCTACTGCGCACGTTCCTGTGCAATGTTAACATATATAATATAAAACTGAAAATCCACGTAACAGCCTAGTTTCTGTCTCAGGGTAACCCCCCAATCAGTGACCAGTAAAGGTGTGAAATTAGCGGTTGTCACTCGAGCTGCAAGTGGTAATCTAATGTGATATCTGCAGCCAAGAAACTAGGTATTTCTAAAAATTAACATCATTATCATTACAATTTTACATTCACTGCAGTTTTTTTTTCTATCAGAACCTACCTATTCCCCCCCCCCCTTTTTTTCTGTTACTTTCCTGTAAATGAAAACATCTGTAATTCGCTGTTATCTATCTTCAAACTTGAAGCCTGTCGTTTTTTCTTTTCCTTTCTCAGCACTGGGAACAGCAATAGCTAGCCCAATGCTTTCAAAGTCAGTGCTACGCCCCCCCCCCACCCCACCCCACCCCGCAACCACCCCTAACTATGTGAGGCGCTGGGGTGTTTGAAAAAAAAAGGGAGAGGGGGGTTCCGATAGTAGTTTTGTTGGTCATAATGTGAGGGGTAAGGTGCCTCGGTGTAATGAATAACAATTTAATTTTCCTCTAGCTCCAAAACGGTGAACATTAGAGGGTGAAATCTGCATATGTCGTTCTGGCTGCAATGTGTAGGTCAGCTTTGCTATGTAATTCTGATAGTTAACAGCTTGGACACTAAATGGCGTTTTATATTAGCAAGGAGTGATAGCTTCGTCGGCTTGGATTTGACCCTGTTCTCCATCGCCTAAAGATACTGTATTTAGCCAAGTATTGACAGGCTTACAAAAATTAATTATCTTCTATACTATTGTTAGGCAAAATAATGGTATCTCAGATCACTTTATGCATCAAAACACATATTACACAATGTGACTATACAAAACACAGAACTAGTATCTGTCATATGGCTATTTATCAAATGATTCCGTCGTTTAGTGGTTATCTTTTCATCCCTACACATGGTTGGTCATTGGTTCAATTAATAAGTGAAAATTTATTGTTTGTATTAATGTATTTGTTATTGTATATTGTTAGTTTCACTATTCTTGCAGCAGGGGTGAAGAATAAGGAAGGTAAAGTGACGGAACCATTCAAAGAAATGGGTCCTTCTTTGATGTTTGGAAGTGAAAGTAGTCGACCTTTTAATTTTTTTCTGAAAAGGAATCGGAATCGGAATTTCCCTAACAGAAAAATTTAAACGCATGAACAACAGGCCATTGCACAGAGTAGCAAACAACTTAACTAAAAACCAACCGAAAAGACAAAACTTTTACATTCTATGAAAGTTGTACTATGCAAAACACGGTGACATCCTTTCTAAAGATCCTTCAACTTGGGAAATGATCCACGCATACAGAATAAATCTACCGCCTAACTATACAGTCACAACAACAATTCCAGGCATAGACAGAAAAGCGGAAGAATGTGAACTAGTAATACATGCAAAGACACTTAACATTAAAAAGAATAATTATAAATAAAACAATTTTAAAACTATTTTTAAAACAAAAAGGCAAGGGCGTTTTTGATTTCATGACAGTTTGTACACAGGTTTAGATCATCCATTTACGATGTTAGGGCTTTCAGAGGTGCAGATGTATTTACTGACCATTTCCTGGTGGTAAGTAAAATCAAGTTGAAACTAAAAAGATACATAACATCTTATAATCATATAAACCAATATAATGTAGGTTATCTCTGGGATAAAGAAGTTAAGGAACAGTTTTCAGTTACAATCTCTAATAAGTACCAGGTGTTGCAGCAGTTAGCTGAAGATGTCAGCACAGAAGTCTGCTGGGATCAGATCAAAGGAATCAGGAATGAATCTTGCGTAGAAGTTCTTGGCAAGAAAGAAAGGAAACAAAAAGCGTGGATAACACCAGAAACCATTAAACTGATTGAAGATAGGAAAAGTAAAAAGGCAGACTTAAACAATAGCAAAACTAGAGCTGCTAAAGTTAGAGCTCAGGATAAATACACAGAAGCCAATAAGAAAGTTAGAAGGCGTATAAAGGCAGATAAAGTGAAATATCTTAATGATCTAGCACAGGAAGCGGAGACAGCAGCAGCAAAAGGAAACCTCAAGGAACTTTATAGTAACACAAGAAAATTAGTAGGTAATTATAGTCAGCCAACTGGATCAATCTATATTAATAAAAATGTTAATTTTCCGATGTTGTAACCTAAAAACTCGGAAACTACTGAGCCGATTGCTTTAAAATTTTCACACCACGTTCCCTTTGACTCAAAGCGTGTTTTTTTGGGTCACAATCTCACACAAACTACGAACGACGTAGCTCCAGCAACGGTCAAATCATTATTTATTTCGTTGCCGGCCCGGATTTGTTTTTAATCCATTGGCCACCTTTGACTGTGTAACACCGAACTACACATTCTTATTATATACTTTCATTTCTACTAAATGCTAGATGTATTTAGTAGCGTATTTAGTTGTACGCATTTCGTTTTTTTACTCGAGTAATAGGGGTTCGCTTCCCCGCTGGGTGATATAATTTTTTTTGGCCCCAAACTAGGTGGCTGCCACGTTTTGCTGTGGTTTATAGCTAGGCTGCAATATCTACGTTTTTTCCCCCGTTCGATTTTGGGGTTTACAGCTAGCCTGCTAAAACGGCGACGTGATGCTCAAGGTTCATGTCACTGGTAATATTCGTTCGCCCTTGACAGGGCCGTTGGCACGTTGTGTTGAGGTAAACAGCTAGGCTGCAATATCTGACCTAAAGTCTTCAGTCTTCAGTAGTAGAGTTGTAAGTATTCCTTCCTTCACGTGGTTGACCGGTATTTGATTTCCCGCTGGGTGCTAATTTTTCTTTTTCCCCTAAAGGGGCGTTTGGCACGCTGTGTTGTGGTTTACAGCTAAGTTGTGACCTCTGCGCCTTACGCACAGCGCCAACTCCTCTGGCTAGAACGACCTGTACAGACAGTAGTGACTGTTTTGTGTTGTTGTTGTGACGTTGGCGGTGGTAGTGGTAGCAGTAGTACTGGTACACGATGGGTTATGTGGTAGCTGTTACACTGGCCACATTTACTTCTCATTACAGATTATGCTCGATTTAACAACAATATTTCGTCAGGCGATGACTTTCCTATACTTCGTAGAGGATTTTTTTTACAGTTCTCACATCTTAACTATTTCTATTTTAACAATGTCGCCACATAATATTGTTTCATTTATTCGGAGACGGAGATATAAAATGAGCAGATGCTTGAGTCCCTGGTAGCGTAGTTGTATATTTTGCGTGTTACGCGGGTGACTGGCGAATAATACCCCGCTGGGTGATTAAATATTGTTTTTTGTCCTTAACTAAGCGGCTCGCACGTTGTGTTGTGGCTTATAGATAGGCTGCCATATCGACGTCTTTTTTCCACTTAGTTTTGGGGTTTACAGCTAGCCTGCGATAGCGGCGACGTGATGTTGGTCATGTCACGGGTAATCTTCGTTAGCCCTTGAGAGGGCGGTTGGCACGTTGTTTTGTGGTTTACAGCTAGGCTGCAATATCGGACCCAAACTCTTCAGTCTTAGGTAGTAAAGTTGTACGTATTCCACCCTTCACGTGGTTGACCGGTGTTCGATTCCCCGCTGGGTGCTAATTTGTTTCCCTCAAGAGGGCTGTTGGCATGTTGTGTTGTGGTTTACAGCTAGGCTGCAATATCTGCACCTTTCGCCCAAAGATATCCGATTTCAGTAAAGTCCCATTGATCCTCCCCTCGACGCTTCGATCATAAACTATTCGTTGATGACAGACGCTGTTAACTAAGACTGCTTACAGGCCAGTTTACTTTGGGTGGTTTACTGTGGTAGCTGTTACACTGGCCACATTTACTTCTCATTACACATTAATGCTATCCATCTGTCTCTGGGTGGACACGGATGCAAAGTTCAATTTAGTTACAATATTTCGCCAGATGATGAATTTCCCATCCTTCGGCTAGGATGATAAGATTAGGGGGGGGGGGGGGGGGGGGTTGATGGCAGACACTGTTAACTAAGAGAGCTTAAAACATTATTTTAAATTTATCATTTCTTAACTATTTCTATTTTAATAATTTCGCCAAGTGATGATTTGTTATTACTTCGGAGAGGGACATATTATGGGGGGGGGGGGGGGGGGGGGGGGGGGTTATGCCAGACACTGTTAGCTGAGAGAGCTTAAGACATTATTTTCAAGTTCTCATTTCTTTACTATTTCTATTTTAATACTTTCGCCAGGGATGATTTTTCAATCCTTTTCAGACGGAGATATGACTGGGTGGAGGGGAGGGGGTGGATTGTAACAGACACTCTTAGCTGAGAGCTATTTTCTTTCTTTTCCATTTCACGGTTCTGGGCCACAGCAACGCGTGGCCGGGCACGACTAGTCAAAACTAGTCAAGGAAAGGTACTTACTAACATTAAAGATCAAATGGACAGATAGGTTAAATAGTTTGAAATGCTTCTAAACAGACCAGGTCCAGAGGT